ATTTTCTTTCACTTATGTCCTAATTGCACTTAAGCCAACAGGGCCTATATATGTCTTCTGTTTTATTGAATTGCAACTTCAACTTCATCGAATTATTCATAGATTCTTTCTACCACAAATTTCACACTCATTAACTTTCGTAATTTCCAGTCAATATAATGAGAAATTTCGCAAAGGCTTTATGCCACAAACTACCATTTTGAATGTTAATGGTGATAAATTCAAATCCAGACATTTATTTCTCTAGTACTTTTCTCCTATTGCTACGTAACTGAGGACGTGTGACGAACAAGTTCCTCATTGTTATGAATTCATAAGTTGGTTGTAATATGATGAGCAAAGCGCTCCGGTGGTGACATATCCATTTTCACGTCTTTTTGGATTGAATTGGTGCTTCAGTTGACGCTAAAGTGACGGACAGAACTGAAATGGACAGCGCAGGCGACCTCCTCCTCTCCTGCAATGCATTCTGTCTGTCACGGCAACATGACAAATCTAACAACTACCTCCATAAAAGCTTCAAGAATCTCTCCCTCCCCTCGATGATATGGACAGAGTAGCCTCGGGAGGCAAGGGGAGAGCAGAGAAATATGGACGAGGCTTCGAGAAGTAGCGAACAAGATAGAGCTCTTTCTTGCATCTGATATCTTGTTTGCCAGTCCTTGCGGTTGGAAACCATTCACTCTCCACAAAAGAAGATAAGTATTACTCTTTGGGCTCCTGTGCAGCCCCTCTCTAGACATTGCTGATATATGTCTTACATTTTTGCATAAAGAGGTACATTACTGAAACGTTCTAACCACTTGAGTGAGCTAATCCAAATGTAATCAAAACAAGACAGACAGGCAGACAAGCGATGGAGGATAATATATTGGTAGATGCTGCATCGCTTGACACATTTCCTGGCTTGGCCTGTGGTTGGCATTTAGAAGCCATCCCTCGCTTTCAGTTAGATTCCGCTACGAGAGGAAGATGCAAACGTGGATTTAATGGGGGAATCTATCAGCTACGTCAGCCAGAGCATGGGTTTGGGGGTGGAGAACCAACCGTTGCTTCAGTTTGCCTAGATATGTAGACACAAGAATTTGGCAATTGTCTGGCCTGTAATACACAGGAGCAAGTGATGTGGCTAAGTTTGTAATCCGTGTTTTACATATTGTTCTGTTCCCAACGACATCACTTACTGTTGCCTGTCTGTGTAAAAGGAATAAAGTCTTCACTGCCTAAATAAGAGGACAATCATCTCATATTTATTAGCAAAATTTCCAATTCCAGCACGGCTAGAATCAAATCCGAAAGCTAGCTGCCCTGTGGCTATGCTATTCTTGTCTAAATGTTGACTACTCTCTGTTTTCATTGCAGACTGCCAGATGCGCAATGTTAACGTGAGAGCAGTCAACTCGAAACGAAGGAAAACACCCTCCTCTTCGTGCTTGTGAGTCTCTTGAGTTGCCACAACTCTCTCTCTCTCTCTCTTCTCTCTCTCTCATAGTCTGGTTGCGCTTAGAACCCAGTCCCTTAGCAAAGAGTCTTGACTTGACATGTCTTGGTGTCCATTGGCTTTTTACTTTTGCATGAGCAATCCCTTATCGTTCCTCATGTGTTCTAACCCCTTCTTGGCGTGTTGCATCGTGGTGGTCGTGAAGCTCGAGATGGTGTTCTGTCGTGGAAACTTTAGGTCTTTATCTTCCTTCTATCCCTCGGTCTGAGCTGTTGCGTTCCTCTGGAGTCTATGTCAGCTGCCTACTCCACTCTCCTCACTGGTCGATCCTACCCAGACGACCGCCGATGCTGTATTGCGTGTTTTCTGTACCGTTCTGCGCTGCTGGAGCACACGAGTGGGGGTAGGGAATGTGATGCTTGTTTATCGATAACCCACCCTCCCTTCCTGCTCCATTCTATACGAGTGTTGTGCAGGGGGGTGCAACAGAAGCGGTGTAATAAATTTTTTGACATGAATTTTGGCTGGTACCGGTAATCAATCTGACTCCTGGAGGGTGTCCTCGTTGCTGTTGTTGTTGATGTTGACTGTGTATGGTAGTTCTACCCTACCTCTACCCCCCTTCCATCCATGCCCCAAACAACGCACCCAATTATAACTTGAAAACAAGAAAAGTGTTGGCGGTCCGGTGCACTCAAAGCGCGGAAAATTAAACATCACCGACAGCTGGTGGCAGGCGCTCGGAGCGGGTTACTTTGTGGTTACAAGACCGACCGATCTACCTATCTACCTGCCTCAATGCCCCATATACCAAACCTCTCACAGTTTGTCTTGGGGGCAAACCAATATTGGCAGGTAAATTACTCATGGAAAATGCGATGTGACTATTGAAATTCTCAAAATGAAATGCTGTATCGTAACAAGTGAAAATTATTCCACCCAGCGTTCCCCCCCCCCGGCCCCTACACTCTTCTCCGTATCTTACTCTGCATTTCTCTCTGTTTTACTTCCGTTTCCAATCTCTTGCTCTTTCTTTGACTCACAATCCAAAAAGAGGAAGGGGATTACGTAACTTGATACGAAAACGAAAGTAATTATTTCTAACCACAAAAAGATATATCAGTTTTCTAAACGATTGACCAGGTTTGCTGATTTTATAAACGACTGAGTAGAGTATTTAAAATGATTTATTGTTTCGGGACCTCAAAAAGAAGGTAGGTCTGATAGTGTTCGATATACAGAATGTCCCAGGAGGAATGGACCAAACTTCGGGAGGGTGTTCCTTATGTTAAAGTATGCCGATATAACCCAAAACACTTATGTCCAAAGTTGAACGGTTACGGAGATAATGGCCCAAGAAAAGTGTGGTCTTCTAGCGGGTCCACGCACTGTACCTCTTAGCTGAGAGGCCTTATCTGTGTTTGTCCTTGAGTGCGGTGATACACCCTAGCCGTGCTTATGCAGTTGGCTTTATCAGAACTCGCAGTCAGCACGTTACGTCAGCGCTTGCCATGCATGTGTCATGTATAGTGCTTGGAAACCCTAAGGACAATTATGACATGGCGAGCGAGTATTTTGTACTTCAATTTTATGGCTTCATGTAACTCACAAGTTAGTTTGATGTTACGTACATTATTAACATTACAGAATCCACATATTCCTGCCAGTTTTAATATGTATTTTGTAATCAACAAGTGTGCAACGCCGGTCAAAGTTTGACACTTCTCTGGCCATTATCTCCGTAACCGTTCAACTTTGGACATAGGTGTTTTGGGTTATATCGGCATACTTTAACATAAGGAACACCCTCCCGAAGTTTGGTCCATTCCTCCTGGGACACCCTGTATATCTCACAGCTATAGTATGTATTGCAAAAGTTGTATGAAAATGCATCGCCTATAAAGTATGTGAATAGGACATGACTTTAGCTACTAGTTCATTAAATACATGTCACTGACACATCCCTTCTTCATTTCTAGCAGAGGTGAAATCGAATTTGTTTAATAAATCGAACGGAATTTCCTCCGGAAATATAGCTGCTTAATATTCATTTATTTAAACGGCTTAAGGTAAGATATTTTAATCTGGGATAGTTTAAATTTAGTAGCCCTTCTATGTATTAGGGAGTTATACTTTCGGTCCTTTTTATGATGGAATATATTTTCATACTACTCTTCAAATACAGTTATTTAGAATAGGTATAATAAAATTATTTATTCGTTCCTCTATATTAGATTGTCGTTCTCTTGACATTGTAATATAATGAGAGCTGAAACAAAAGAAACACGATAAATCTGAATTATGCATGAGGTTAGGCATGTCGCGAAAAATAGTAGAATTATTTTTTCCCCTTGAAGTTTCAAACATCAACGACAAGCTGCATTTTCTTGTCGGTTATCAGTATATTCGGATCTTGTACGTTTTACTCTAAACCTGTATCTTCCAGTAGTAAAGTATAAGCTGCCGTGTGGCACAGAATATCAAAATTACATATTTAAAAGCTCGATATATTTTCCGTATTAAATTTCTATAACACATATATATATATAATTTCCCGAAATTTTGTGCAAATGGCGAAAGCAGAACGCCATACAAGCAGCAGTCGTGTTTCTGGTAAATTATATTCTATTTGAAGACAGTGGCCTACGACTCCATTTAGTAATAATAAGTCGCGTATAAACTAAATATTTCAATTCTGATTTTACAGCAAAATATTGAGAATATTTCTCTCAAAATGAAATTCTCTTCACCGAACAGTGGACGATTTGAGGCAGGAATTTAATAAGCCCTTCTCTTAAAGAAAATTCTGTAAGATAACGAACAATTAATTCGATTATATGTTTGTATTCCGAAGGTAATACTGCTTCAAAATTACAAATGGACGTGTGCCCTCTTGTGCCATCGATTTCTCTCAGATACTCAGTAGTACACACATTGATCAACACGTTTCCGTTTGTCCTCAGTGTGCAGGGGATGTCCTTATTCTCATACCCCAACACGTTCAGTGGACTAGACGCATGATTTACATATATACATTGGCCACTTAGAAACTTGAGTTCATTTTTTTTGTTATTATTATTTATACAGCGAGACTGGAATATGTTGGTTGTATGTGATCCTCTGCCAATTTTAGAATATGGAGAACACAGTTTCATAATGCAACGTAAAAGTTTTATGAGTTTTATATTTTTATGATAATATTTTATTAATAATTACTAAATTATTTATCACTTCTGAAGAAAGAAATATAATAATCGTATATGCGAAAAAACTAGTTGAATGTTCCTCCTTTTGTATTTTTTACTGTAGTGTTCGTACACAGATGATAGCCTCTAGGAATTATAAATGTTTGTGTTTCCGCCCGATATGATTGGTTGGCAGTTAGTTGGACCTTATGTTTAATGTGTATGTACTGTTAGATAATGTCCGATGTTTTTTGAAAAGACTTGTTTTCTGTGTTAATGTAGTTTGATTACAAGTTTATGTTGTTTTTCTTTCTGTATTGCAACTGTGTGTTGAAATGTTAGCCGATGGACGATGTGTTTTCTTTTTCTTTCAGCTGCACAGATCCCGCAACGAGGAAGTAAGTACCCATCAGTTATACAGTTCTTTTCATATCGCTTCATAGTAGTTACAAATCCCCTAAGTTCTTACTCTCTGATATCAGGAGAAATATAAAGGGATTTGCATTTATTTCAAAACTCATTCATTCCTTCCTGTCCATGGCGATGGTGACCTTCAAATTTTCGCAGTTTTTTCTTTTGTTTTCCTTTGGCGTTACGGCCTCAATTTGGGCCTTGGCCTACCTCCATGAAACTCTTCGTTTGGCTATGGTTCAGTAAATATTTTACATTCGGTAGGACTGCTTGGGCGGGTGACAAGCTCGTCGCAAGGCTTCTACCTGTACATAAACACTGAACGTCCATGCCCTGACTGGGATTCGAACCCATGATCTCGGCTTCCGATCGAGTATATGCCTTAGACCGTTCGACTACCGTGACCGGCCTCTTCGCAGATATAGCAGAAATACACTTTCGGCATTTTATAATAAAATGTAATCTTTTAGTATTATAAATATTAAAATAGGCACATTTTAAATATATTTCGATTGGTAAAGAAATAGCTAAATAGCTATAATTTGTAATAGTCGTTCTAGCCTACATCTGTCTCGCGGGAACTTCAGTTTTGTGGCGACGTCAGAACATATACTTTATAACACTAAGTACCTTCCCACATGTAGGTATACTTTTTATAACCACAAATTTCAAAGTGTATGGAATTATTAAATAATTATTACACCTATTATCAGACGAACGTTTCTCTGTAGCCTAAACTGTTGAACCATAAAAAAACGAACTCCGTGACCTGTAGTCCGCAAGCGGACTGTACCGACCGAGCGACCGCCGCTTGCCGGCGAACTTAGTGCCAACTTTTGTGGATGGAGGGTGTCTCGTGTGCAGCGCAAAGAATCCCAGCGGTCATTAATCTCGGTTTTCTAGACCGGAGCCGCTATTTCTTTGAAATAGCTCCTCACTTATCCTCACAAGGCTGAGTGGATCCCGTTCCAGACCCACTACTCCTTAGTAAAATTTGGTAGCTCCGGGAATTGAACCCGGAACCTCTGGATCTGTAGCCAGAAACTCTGACCACTAGACCACAGAGGCGTTCACAAACTGTTGAGCCAAATTGCGAAGATCGTAATTAAACAAATTTAACCAGCTTTCTGCTACTTCTTCCGTTTTTGGTCCGAAAGATTCCCCTCAGCAAACTTCATGTAAAACCATTCCTACAGATATTTTATTCTATTTTGTGTATGCTTTGCTTTTATTCCTATTTTACGTCGTATCCTTACAAATTACAAATTTTATATTTATAATTAATATAACACATTCATTTTGTTTCAAATTGTTTATATTTCAAAATAATTAAATTTATATTTTACTTGGCTTGTATAAAGGCCATCAGTCCATGTAAAGTTTGGAAGGCATCAGAAAAGGTTTCTATTTCATATTGACACTGACAGTACATGCATCATTTATGATATGTTAATTCTCGTATGTCCGGCGATCACAATATAACAGTTTCAATAAACAACTGATAGGATCAGTTTAGTTTATCAAAATATTTTCACGCTACAATTTTTGGTCTTTGCGATCATCACTGGTGTTTATAAACAACAAAATGTACGAAATGTAAGTTTTATATGACGGCTATTAGCAATGGATTCATTGCTAATAGCCGTCATATAAAACGTTCTTTAGAAAAAGATTAGGGCGTTTAAATATACTAAAATATCTGTCAAATATTAATAAACCTTGTCCGAGGGGCCGCGCCATAACTCAAGCTGTTAGTCGCTGGCATTCCACCGCGGTGGCCCGGGTTTGATCCCGGGTCTGATCAAGTGAGATTTGTGGTGGACAAAGTGGCGCTGGTGCAGGTTTTCTCCGAGTACTTCGGTTTCCCCTGCCAATCTTCATTCCACCAATTGCTCCACAATCACCCTCACCTATCATCTGGGGCTGGTACAATAGGCCAGAAGTGGCCGCAGTACAAGGGACTTAGTCCCACCCCACTAGTAATAAAAAATCTTGTCTGTCTGTATATGTATTTTTCATTTGTATGACACTGTGGCGTGTTTCTTCAAAGCTAAAACTGTAGAGCCAGAGAAACGACCGTTGCTAGGTAAGGCCCACACACAACACGATACGAGATATGACGCGAACAACCGTTGCTATGGAACGACTGAATAAACACGCGCTCAATAGTGGAAGTGCACTGTTTTCTACGTGGTCCAAGCCGGGATTGTTTCTATGCAACGGCGTGGTAAACACACCTCTAAACAATAGAGAGGATGTGTTTTCTGTGCGGCCTGCCCAGGGGTTATGAAAAGGACATACAAGATGTGCCAACTTTCCAACCCGTGTGGAGGCGGGATCGAATACCTCCACCGTGACCCTGCGAGTCGTAGGAGGCGACGAAAGGGAAAGTCTCAAAACTGAGACAGTAAAATATGGTCGAGAGTCCCAAGGGACTCAGACCCGAAGAAGACTGCACTGGTAAGAGCCAGCAGCATATATAAAAGACAGACCCGTTCTCTCGTCAGAGAGGGCACCCCAATAAACAAGACCGTAATGGTCAAGCAGTAATAAATATCTGGTCAAGACTTACTGACTGACTGACCGTCAGTCTCAATGTGACTTTGGCTTTGACTTTGACTTGTGCCAACTTTGCCAAAGGTAATTTTAATGAAGGTAATGATATTTAAATAGTAATCATATGGCATATGGCAAGATATAAAATATCTTCTCCCCCCCCAAAACTCAACTTGCTTATGATCACGCGACAAGAAATGTTATTGTCCGGACCATACTTGGGCAGAGACACAAGAAAACTCACAATATATCAAAAAAGTGTTATAGCTTGACTACAAATCAGTATACTACATGCGCAATAACTCAGTATCCAGTATGCATATACAATATTTTCGTATGTATGTAATCAGGCTTTCAGAGCTGTTCAGTGGTAGTGTGGGTTCTGTTTCTGGGTGATGTTCCTGGGAGCGTTAATATCCCAGTGTTTTCACGCTTGTTTAAACTGTCTTTCCTGTTTATGGTTGATGTTCCTGGGATCGTTAATTTCCCAGTGTTTTAACTATCTTTCACAGCTGTTCAGCGCTAGTGTGGATCCTGTTTCTGGGTGATGTTCCTGGGACCGTTAATATCCCAGTGTTTTCACGCGTGTTTTAACTGTCTTTCCTGTTTCTGGGCGATGTTCCTTAGACCGTTAATATCCCAGTGTTTTGACGCGTGTTTAAACTATCTTTCACAGCGGTTCAGTGTTAGTCTGAGGCCTGTTCTTGGGGTCTTTAATATCTCAGTGTTTTGGCACATTAAAACTGACTTTCAGCGGGATTCAACACTAATATGACCTTGTATCTAAAAGATGTTCGCATATTCTGTCAGTCTTGAATAAGAAGTGACTATCCAGCTAACACTGCCTATAATTACAGTACAGTTCTTCATGATCGTGGGAACTATTTTGTTTTCGTTCGAGTGGTAGCCAAGGAACGTGAGTCACAACAAATTTCATTTCATCTTGAAGATGGAGACAGAAGATCTCAGCGAACAGGTCGGTCTAGAGGCTGCGTTCTGGAACTATACTCAGGAGATTCTTGGATTGAATTTCGACGGGGGATTTTGTGGCTTTTTGCAGTTCCTCCAAGCAATGCTAGGAAAGTACCTCGATTTGGCTACGATGGTTTCCAATTCATTATGTAATTATCATCCTCTCATCCAACGTTATATAGACCCCGCAGTGGAAAGCATCGTTAAATAATCCATGGAAAAGTGAGAATCTCCGAAACGTCAGCAATGCTTCTATTAGTTCTTGACGTCATCACTCAGGGTTCCACGCATTTCTAGTTATCAGGTAATTCGTAAAGTCACTATCACTTTGGACACGTTTTATCTCTTAATTGCCTATAATTTGCTTCCATTCGGTTTGANAGAATTCAAATTTTATGTGAGACGTGTAAAGATATTCTTCTTACGTAATATTATTACGATATGTACTAGAGCAAATAAGCTCAGAATAAATATGTGTGAATAATTAATATGTCTTCTTTCCTGGAAGTTATTCCATCTCAACACAGAAATTTGTTAAACAAATATATGCCAATGTGAGCCAGAAATAAATTAAATAAATTTTAATGTGATCGCTATAGCCCAAAATAATGAAATCAGTTAATACGAACCTAGGCCCGCAAACGCTTCAGTGACGTACTAGGGTCATTCGGAGTGTTCCCTATAAGCAGAATTTGGTTACAGAAATAAGAACTAACTTTTGCTAATGTCACGTCTCAAAGAAACTGCAGTTTGAAGTGGAAGATGTGAACTACTACTTATTACTAGTACCCAGTTTCCCTCAGAGCCATCGCGTTTATAGCGATGCTGAGTTTTTCATGCAAGCTAGCAGAGAAAACTTAGTATATGTTGCTGTCTCGTCACCTAAATGCAGAGAAAATTTATGACATAAAGATACGAAACAGATGTTTTGAAAATGTGGCATAGTTCAGATATTTGGGAACGACTATAACAGATCAAAACCTGATTCAGGAAGAAATTAAGAGGAGATTGAACTCTGGTAATACTTGCTACAATTCAGTCCAGAACCTTTTGTCTTCTCGTCTGCTGTCCAAAAACATAAGAATTAGAATATACAAAACTATAATTTTGCCTGTGGTTCTGTATGTCTGTGAAACTTGATCTCAAGAAGGGTTCAGCTCCATGAGTAAGTAAGTAAGTAAGTACACTAGAACGTGATATCAAGCTTTCATCTTCAGCGAACCTTACGTACAGCCAAGCGCTGTCCTTTTAATATCGAAGGGGGTTCTGGACCGCCTCTGTGGCCTAGTGGTAAAAGTTCCTCGCTAAATATACAGAGGTCCCGGGTTCGAGTCCCGGGGCTACAAGATTTTCTGAGAAGTAGTGGTTCTGGAATTGGGTTCCATTCAGCCTCGTGATAATAATTGAGGAGTTATTTCAAGGAAACATGGGCTCCGGTCTAGAAAACCTAGATTAACTG